CAGCAGCAGGAAATAGCTACTACTGATTTCTCTTTTGGAAATTTCTCCCCAGGAACCCGTGAATCACTGCGTGCTATTAGCCAGGGAAGGGCTGCAGAGTCAAAGCCAAGTAAATGGCAAATACTCCCCTGCCTGCGAATCCTTATTTGGTGAGCAGTGCTGTTTTTAGCACAGCTCTGCTGTTTATCGCAGATGTGAATTCCTTGGAAAGTCTTTGAGCCTTTGCACCTTTGGCTTGGGACCAGCCTGGGAACCGATGACAGTCTCCAAGAGCCCTGCGTTGTGTCTTCTCGCCATGGCAGATTCCTGCCCCGGTGCTTTTCCCACTACCAAGCCTATGCAGGTTCCCAAGCCCTCCATGGAAATGGAGAGGAATTAGGAGGTTTTCTGCCTCCAAATGAGGCCCAGGGAGCTAGAGACATGTCAGGGCCTGTGCTATATAGTATAATTAATCCACACAAAGGAGGATGGTCTTAAAGGCAGAACAAGCTGTTCCCTGGGCTCACCCCATGCCCAGCACCAGCACGATCAAGCCTGGGGCTGCATTTGGGGCTGCCCAGCGTTATCGGGATGCCGGCAGGTTGGTTGCTCCATGTTTCTCCCATCTCCTCCCAGGTTCAGCCGCCAGTGCGTGATAGACAAAGACAAGAGGAACCAGTGCCGATACTGCAGGCTGAAGAAATGCTTCAGAGCTGGCATGAAGAAAGAAGGTAGGTGTCACCGCACATTGGGTTCCTGTGTCCTTTCAGACTTTTCTGTCCCTACCTGTACTGCAGTGGATTGATGGTGGGGAGCAGTGACAGCCCTGATACTGGGACACAATGACCATGGGTTGCCTGGGGAGATGTTTCCTTCTCACAAGAAGACCCTGTTTCCCACCTCGGACTAAATTAACTTGGACAGGCTGGTCTCTGGAGGATATTTTTATACTGGAAAAGGGACAGGTTTCTTCAGGGAGCACTTTAGAGCACCCAAAGCCAGATTCAAGCTCTGAATTGCCTGAGGAAGGCATTTCTCCATGAGATGAATCTGCAGATGGTCTTCATCAGGCCAAAGCTCCTCCTAGCACCCACATTCTTTTAGTATCCTTTATCAACTAGACATGTAGGGCCTTGGTTTCTCCGTCATTGCCTTGCTGGAGGGGTCACACAGGGCTCTTTTGGTGCCCCTGAAGAAGCCAGGCAGCCCTGGGCACATGCACAGCTCCCGGGCAGAGCGATGGAGTCGCTGCCCAGCCTTGACAACTCGCTCCCGGGTGTAGGTTTGCACTTCACAGCAGGCATTTCCTTGCCATACTCCTGATAGGGCGACTGCTAATCCCAGCTGTGACAATCTCAGCTAGGACCGGCCTCATAAACTCTAGCAGTTGAGTATTGCAAAGCTGTGCTTGGTGGTTGCCTTGACCGATGCTTGATGCTCCTGCAGACCCAGGCACGGGCAAAACGCGATGCCCCGTGGGTCAAGACCCGGTGCTCCATGTTGGGGTCTGTGTCCATCACAGTTGTGTCCTACTGAGTCCGGAGCTGGGTCGGGGTCAAGCCCTAGAGCTTGACTTGTTGTCATGGCAGCATGGCCATAACGTGACTATTAGTGATGGGACCAGTGGGTCAGCCAAGTATTAACTGGTGCTTTTTGCTGCATTTCACACTATTTGTGTTGCAAGGGACAAGCAGGCAGTGATGGTGATCATTGGAAGAATGTCCTTCAGGACACTATACTTGCATAGTGGGAGAGCATTGATGGTACTGTTGTACTTACTGCAAGTTTTTGGGACAGAGACAGAATACGAAAGCTAGGGGAAAAAAGAGAAATAATTCTTAACAAAATAAGACTAACCCAAAGCTAAATGTCAGGATCTAGCCTATTCATCATGAGGATGAAGTCAGTCATTGATGTAGCAAGCTCCATAGCTCAGAAATGGTGAAATCTGGTGATGGGTTCCATTCTTGGAGTTGAAACATGTTTTTCTAATTGGTTTTATGGTAAAAGTTATAAAACCTTGGCTCATTCGCTCATTATCGATTGCAGCTCTGTAGAAGATGACTCACTTCAAGTTCCACATAGTCACATTCTTTGAAACTGTTTTTATGAGTGCAGTCAGGTTGCGTGCAAGCAAACTGCTCGTGTGTTTGGTGAGACAGATTTGCAAGCACCTTGAGCAAGGGCTTTGTGGAGCAGCACCGCATGCACAGCCTGGGTGCAGAGCTACGAGAGAAACCCTCTTGCACAACCGTGTGCACGAGAAAGAACACAATTATTTGCTTTAGGGTGGTTCTAGATTAATATTAAACAGTACTGTGAAGCATTAGGGAAGAATAGAAATGGTGCCTTGGGATAGAACACTGTTAGGACCGTACCAAGTTTGCAGGTTATTCACACTGGGGACGGGAGCAGCGATGCTCGTGCTGGGGTGGCCCCGGCACGGAGCTCCCGGACACGCTCTGCTTTTGGCACACCGTTTTCCAGCCAGCCAGTATAAAAGAGATCAGACTTTCCAGGGTGTGGTAATAAGGCTGTTTGCCCACAGGAGAGGGGAAGAAACTGGAAATGATGGTTATTGCGGCTGGTGTCTGCTGATACACCTGGACCAGGGCAGGCTCCATCGTCACCCTCTGCCCAAGGGGCTGGGTGCAATCCTGGAAAACCCAGTGGTTCCCAAATGTTCTCCTCCAGGAAAAACTAGCTGACAAGCTGGAATTTTTGAACCAGAAGGATTTTTTTTTTCCCCCAATCTTCCTGTGTTGTAAGATGTGATGTGGCACAATTGGATCTTTCTCTCTCTGTCTTTTTTTTTTTTTTTTGCCTATTGGAAACAACTGTAATTTCTAGAGGCAATGTGTTTATCTAGCTTTATAGAATGGACATTTCTGTCCTAAAATAATAGCTGTTTGTGCAAACACCTGGGCTAGGTCTGCTAGATCTAGGCAGCAGGACCATGGTCTCCACAGTTCATGGAGGTCTCATCAGCTTCCTTTAAGTTTCCTTCTTAGTTCAGTTGGGACTTCTTTAATTATGCTTTCCAAGAGGTCCAAGGTCTGAGCAGCTCCAGAGAAGATATTTGGTACAGGGAGGTCTGAAGTGGTCAGGAAGGTTCAGATTTTGCAACACTCAAATCGAACAGCAGGATGCTGCTTTTAGCATATTACTGAGATCATGTTTAACCTTGAATAAATTAGCAGAGTGTGATTATTCTGATGAACAGGGTCACCAAATCCCAGCGAGCATTTAATAACCTTGGAGCCTTTTGAAATGCCCAGCATTACACTGTCAGTTTGCCAGAGAGAAAAGAGGGTTAATATTTAACCTCTCGCCCCCTTTAAAGTGACTTATGAATGTGCATGAGCACCTTTAGATGTATGCAGAAGCGAGAAGAATTATTGTGCCCCTTCCTGTCACATCTCAGTGGGAGGATTTCAGCCTGGCCTGATTTATTTTTGTTAAATTGGACAGGTTTATAGGACTGTTTTGTCAGGTTTCACGGGACCTCTATCTTGCATCCTACCACAGTTTTCACATCTTTTCTGCTACCTTTGGAAGGTCTGAGATCCCAGGTCATTGCAGAGGCAGATGGAAAAGTTAAAAGATCTTTGCTACTTTGGTAAAAATCCCAAATCGATGACAGCGCATGAAAAGATTAATTGTGGATATACCACTGGGCTTTGCAGCCCTATGCAATGTATCACCCCTACAGTATCAGAAACAGCCCGGGGAAAAGATATTTTGTGCATGTATAAATTAATGAGTACGGAGTCGTTAAGGCATGATTAAAGGGGGGTTTCAACCTGTGCAGGGATGGTGGAAAGTTACCGGTTTGCTGCAGTGTGCCTCAAATCAATGTCTGCTCCCTGACGCATTGGCTGTGCTGGCGGCTCCTCGTCACATGCCCTGCGCTGTGTGGCAAGGTGGCAAGGACACGGTGTTTGGGAAACACGGGCTTGTTGCAATTCCACAAACAACACAGCTGTTTGCTCAGGAGCCCACACGGGCACTTTGCGCTTGCTGCGGATGCGGAAATGCATTGGATGGGCAATCCATGCAGTTTTGCTTTTGCTTCCCATGGCGGAGAATGACTCTCTCGCTGCTCCTTGGGGATGCAGTTGGATCCCAGGGCATCAACGTGTCTTTCCTCTGGGAAAAGCATTTGCTCCAGCCAGGAGCTTTGCTGTGAGCTGCTCCAGTGACATCCCCTTCTGCCACAGCCCTTTCCAAGCTCTACAACGCTCGGGGCTCTCCCTTGCAACTGGATGGGAAAACACCTCAAGCAGGGGCTTGGTGGCAACCTCGGGCGAGTGCCAGGCTGGTGTGGGACCCACTGCGCCCTCCGGCACCAACCGCCAAGTCTTTAGTCTTTTATGAGCCCAATAAATGCGGCCATATAATTACCACAGGGCAACAGATTAATGTTGTGGCAGGTAAAACATTAACTCCCTCTTGTATCTTATTCCATAGCATCTTGGGTACTTTCAGTGATAACGCCAACATCACCTTGAGAAAGTCCTCCTGTGCCAGCCGCTTGCACCCCAAGAGTGACCTTAGTGCATCGAAAAATGTGCCCAAAATGATCCCAAGAGGAAGGGGGAATGAGGCCTCCTGAAGGCATTGGGGTGTAGGGGTAGATCTGATGGGTTTTGTAGCTCCTGTGTGAAATAAGATGCATTCACGAGCCAAGACCTTCCTCTTGTGATAAAAGCCATGATTTACACAGAGATTTTATTGAGGAAAAGTTTCTCAGGGGTTCTGGGTTTTGCTCAGTGTCGGGTGTAACAGTGTCCTGGTCCTGGAGTGATGTTGAATGTAAAAGCAGGGGAAATAAGCGGTTTGGAGAGTCTGTTTTCCTGTGGTTTATGTCCATGCAGGATCTGTAGCGTGTAAAGGCTTCTGTGCTGCATATGGGAGGGCTGCATCTTTTAAAACAGACCCAGCTCCTCACAGCCTTCACCCAGATGGGGAAGGGAAAAGGGGTCACTTTGATGGGACCTTCCCCTAGACGGAGCAACCGCCGGCCCCGAGCACCCACCCTGCTCAGAACCACCCCAAATCCCTGAAAACCAGCACGGGGCTCCTGTTCCACGACCCAGTATTGATTTGGTCAGTAGCCGCCTGTGTTCTGCCCTTTCACTCCCTTGGCCTCCCATCAGAGGCGGGTTAGGAAAACAGATAAGAGGTTTGATCTGAGCTCACCAAAAACCCTCCTGCACCTGGGAGAAGAGGCGCTGCTCCTGCAGAGCCCCACGCACGGGATCGTCCCCACGGTCCTGGCGGGATCGGCCCCATCATTCCTGCAGGATCGGCCCCATCGTCCCGGCAGGATCAGCCCCATCATGTTTCCAATGGGCTCAACAGCGAGCAGGGCCCAGGCAGACACCTTTATGGAGATGCCCATGAATCTGGTCAGAGAAAGGGGCTCTGTCCCAAGAGACACACCTGCTCTGGAGCCAGCCCTGCGCTGTTAGGGGAAAAATAGGGATGGGTGAATGATTCCCATTTTGCTGAATGTGCAAAAATGCCAGTTTCTGGCATGCTGGTGGCTTCTCCAGGGCAAGAGCCATTGGACAGCGTGGCACCAGGCTCCACAGCAGTGCCCAATGCTGCCCACCCTGCTTTGGTGACAAAACGCCCGCTTTGGTGACCAAAACACACCCTGCGGTACCCAGGGAGTTAAAGCCCAGAGCAAGCAGCACTTTGACAGCGATGTGTGAGTCATCCATCCCTCTAAACAAAACCAAAAGGAGCCTGGAATTACTGTACCAAGGAGCAGGGATGTACTGTGTTATCGGCACATGCTAAATCTTCCTGCTCCCTCAGCATTAAGGAACTGACAGTTGAATTTCGGAGCTGTCTGTAGCCAAGACGTATGAGCTGTCAGGAAAGTGTTGAGTCTATGCTCAGTTCCTTCAGCTTCATCCAGGGTTGTTCTCCACTGAGCTGAGGTCTCGGGAAGATCATAAGGTTTTCTGGGGGAAGACTAGTGCTGAAAACAAGGTTGTCCTCAGACTAAATCCTGCTTTTTAGTTTGCTGCTGGTTTGCTTGATTGCAGCAGTAGAGCTTATTCCATCCTCAGAGTCTGCTTTGCAAAAATAAAAGTACAATAAATCTGTTATATCCAACATGCAGAGGGCACTGAGTATGAGGCTAGATATGGTTTGTGCTTCAGGAAAAAGAATGGTGAAAACAGTGGAACGGACCTTCCCAAATCCCCTTTTTTTCCCGGCTCAGTATGACACGACCGTGCCTTTCCGTTTGCAAAACCCTGTGGCTAATCTCCCCTGTGCACAGGTGGCTCATTTCCTAATTTCATGCCGTCAAATGGAGATCTTGTCCTAGTCATCTTGGAACCAGGTGAAAGCTCAGTGCGGTTGTGAACGGATGACACCCAGTTTTCCTCACGGGGAAGCTTTTGCTGTCGTCTTAGCAGGTCGTTGCTTGTCACCTTCTGTGCTGTGCATGATTTGCCTTGCTGAAGTGAGTTCACAGCGTGTTCAAGGCACAATATACCCCTGTTCCTCATGAGGATGCTTTGAAACAGATTTGTGGGGATGATTCCCTTGGCTTCCTACGCCAGGGGCCTGTTTGCTCTCATTCCGGTGTCCAGCAAGGGTGGAAGGTGCTGCAGGCACCGCAGCCCCATGCGCTGCTGCTGTTTGCAACCAGCAGCCCCCCGTGATGGGGGACACGCGCAGCTAAGGCGCCGCGGCTCTGTCCTTGCAGCGGTGCAGAACGAGCGCGACCGCATCAGCATCCGGCGGAGCAGCTACGAGGACAACGGCTCCCTGTCCATCCACGTGCTCACCCAGGCCGAGGCCATGGCACAGCAGGTAGGAAACCGGGAACCACCTTCCACGGGCACCTCTGGGTCCCGTTATTCCCTCTTGGAGGGTTAAGACCTCGTTAAACCAGCCAGGGCTGGGTGTCTTCTGCCCTTGGATGGCTCTGCCGCAAAACCCGGTGCTGGGAAGGGGGTTCATTAAAGATATCCAAAAGCAAACAGTAAAAATCCTTGGCCCACCATAAACAGATGCAGCCTTTGGCATGTGGGACCCAAAGCTGAAGTTTTTGGGGCCTCAGGAATGCTAAAGCCCCCAGGTCCCTCCTGCACCAAGCCCTGTTGCTTCACCCCTGAGCAGTCACTGCATTTCAGGCACATTTCCCCCCCCCTCTGCTATACAGTATAATCTGCCCTGGACATATCTTTGTAACTCTATTACCAGGGTAACCACTTTAGTGGGGGAAAAAAAAAATCTAATAAAATTGCTGGATTTAAACTAACGCCAATTCCTTTCTTATTCATGAATATTACCCTGCAAGTCGCTTACATTCCTATGCAAATACATCCTTTCCACTGAGACATATGGTCCAGATTTGCATATATATTTATATATACACAACAATCTTTCCACTTCTTTTTCAAAAATTTGCTACATGTTAACTCCCCCCTCCTCCCCGGCTGTTTAGAGGTCGAAATGTGTGTTTTTGCACCCCAGACGCCTATGGTGGGGGAAGGATGCATATTCATGCATACCGGGAATAAACCTTGTGTGTAAATAGCTATTGCCAAGCGCTGAGAGGCAGCGCTGCTGCCTGCTGCTAAGAAAGGGACTTGGAATGAGCCGGGAAGCGGGATGGATGGAGGGGAGTGCATTGGGAGGGAGCACCACCTCGTGGAGGCTCCGAGGCCGACTGTCCCCCGGCCAGCAGACGAGTGTCACCACCACCCCGGGTGTTGTGTTGGACACTGGGTGACGTTAATACGTCCGCAGAGTCCTCATGTTGTTAACAAATTGCTCCCGAGGGGTAGCGGGTGCTGGATGGGACCCTTGGGGTGACACGAGCCCCCCGGACCAAAGGGCCTCTGTGTTGCAGTACTCGTCGCCCAGCCCCGCGCACAGCGCGGATATCGCCATGAAGAAGGTCGCCACCATCAACGACGTGTGCGAGTCCATGAAGCAGCAGCTGCTGGTGCTGGTGGAGTGGGCAAAATACATCCCGGCCTTCTGCGAGCTCCCGCTCGACGACCAGGTAAAGCTGCTCCCCCGCAAATCCGGCGCATCCAAGGAAAATTCCCACCCGTGCCTGAGCCGGTGCATTTTGATATTAATATATAGATCACCTTATGCAAGCAGCTTCTAGCAGGAGACGGTGAAGCAGAATCCCCTCAGTTGATGTCCAAAAAAACCAAGCCCATCACTTCAGGATGCACAAGGACCCAGTCAAAAAAAAAAAGACTGTTTTTCTCCCTATTGATGCCCAAGAGCTGAATATAAAAGCTACTTATTCCCCAATAACTAAACATCCTTGCTCTTTCAGCTGAACACAACTCATGGTTTCATTTGCCGTGAATGCAGCACTCCTGAAAAGTGATATCTAGATATACTAATAATTTCTAGCTCTTAGCAGTATTTTATCTGCAGATCTGACATAGCTAAACACAAGCTGACTTCGACTTAATGCGAGCAGCGATAGCTCCCTGCTGTGTCTGCTGGTTCTGAAGTGCAATATCTCTTATTCCTTCTGTTCCAGGTCGCCTTACTCAGAGCCCACGCAGGGGAACATCTGCTCCTCGGAGTGGCCAAGCGCTCGATACCATATACTGATTTTCTACTATTAGGTAAAGTAGTGAACAATTCACTGCTGCTTTTTGATTCGCACACACAGGTCAGGCTCTGCTGCCTACCCTAAATCCGCTCCGTATTCACCCTGCCAAGGAGCAGCTCCCTCGGATGGACACGGGCTGCAGATCTGGGCCAAAACTGAGAGCCTGGGAGGTCTCTGGAGGAAAGTAAAAAGGAACAGGCAAATCCACTGTGACTTGTTAAACTGTCCCTCTTCCTATTTGAAATTGTGGATGAAAAAAAAAATACATATATATATATATATGTGTATATATATACTCGAATAGGACCTCAAAGTGCACTGTCTTGCTTTTGTAACTGAAATTGCCAGCACACAGGCAATGGAGAATTTGGATATTGCTGCTTAAAAATGTAGTGCTCAGCTATTAAAAATGGTAGTGCACATGGTTATGGTCTTCTGTTGCCCTCGGCCACCAAAAACACCAGCACAATTTTCCTTGGAAAAAATGACAATACTGACCTTAACAGCAACGCGTTCAAGCGAAAGAGGGAGGGAGAACTTTATCTAAAAAAAAATCAAAAAACAACCCCCATGCTGAAAGCTAAATAAGAGTAAGCGACACTTGAGATGCCAGATACAGCAGAGAGTAAATCAGTACAGAGCGTGGATGGGGATTTGCACATGGTGAGCTAGCGCCAGCATGGGTAGGCTACGAATTAAGGACCTAAAACTCTAATTAGACACTTGCCTGTCAACCCTGAATTTCAGTAAGAAATTGCATGCTGGAAGTCTGCAGCACATGGGCAAGGTGACTCCGTGCCCAGGGATTCGAGCCCAAGCTTCTTCTTGGCTAATTCACTGGGTCTTGACGCTGAATCTCTCTCCCCTGCCAGGCAATGACTTCATCATCCCAATGCACTGCCCGGAGCTGGAGATCGCCCGTGTGGCCACCAGAATCCTGGACGAGTTGGTGAAGCCCTTGCGAGACATCCAGATAGATGACAACGAGTACGCTTGCCTTAAAGCCATCATCTTCTTCGATCCAGGTGAGCTTCCTTCCTACGCATGAAGGTAAACATGGGGTTTGCAAAAGAGTCAATGGATTATAAAAGCTGAGCTGAAACAGGACAGCAAGCAGAGGGATACACCTGTACCTGTGTGCAAACTTTGCAGATCTTAGAGTTTTGCTGCACAGTAACGTGGCTTCAGGAAAGCCCATCAGTCTGAGATGGAGGAGATGACTATTAAGGACGTGCATACATGCCTATATTGAATTATGCATAAAAGAAGTGAGTCGGCTGAGCAGTGGTATGGAGCATCCATCAGCATTCAGACAGGAGCATTAATAACCAGAGAGCTGGATTGCTCAGAGTACCCAGAAATACCAAGGCTGCTTGTTGATGGGTCTTGCTGGCCTCTGGTACCAGAAGGCCAGCAGAGGCTGAGCCCATAGAGCAGAAGGTGGAGAGGAGCCCGGGGAAGACATTTTCTTGCTCTTTCCCATCAAATTCCACATCAGATGTGAAACAGTGGTAGCCCAGTCTGAGGAACTTGGAGATGCAGAGACATCACAGTCCGTGGGTCACTGATGTTTCTTCCTTTCCCTCTACAGAGTCTTAGGGACAAAATTAAGCCTTTTGGTTACACATGCCGTCAATTAACTTCATTTCTTTCCCTCCCAGACTGCAAAGGCCTGAGCGAGCCCGGGAAGGTGAAGAACATGCGATTCCAGGTCCAGGTCAACCTGGAGGACTACATCAACGATCGCCAATACGACTCCCGAGGCCGCTTCAGCGACATCCTCCTCCTCCTGCCGCCGCTTCAGAGCATCACCTGGCAGATGATAGAGCAGGTCCAGTTCGTGAAGCTCTTCGGGGTGGCGCGGATTGACAGCTTGCTGCAGGAAATGCTGCTGGGAGGTAAGAACCCTGCTGAGAAGGACCAGCAAAGTCATTACATCTCAAAGCCTTTAGCGAGCTTCGTGACTGGGTTTGTGGTTCTTTTCTGGAGGAAATGGGAGCATGTATGGTAGAGAAAACAAACCCTTGGCCTGGGAGGAGGGAAGCAAAGTTTTATTGAAACAGGCACTTTGCACCAGCTGAGGACTTGGCTTTTAGGCAACATCCTTCAAGGCAACCCCACATTTTTGTTACCAACATGCAAAAATTGACCCTACTCATAGACGAGTCTCCCACGCTCCCTAAATAGAGGAGACTTGATAGAGTTCATTTGATTTCTTGGTAGCGATGCAAAAAGTGATGTCTCTTCCATCCTCCACTGCAGGAACCACTATCGATCTCCAGTACCAGTCAGGACCTCCCAACTTGAACCTGGACCCTCTGCCAGGACACGTCCTGCCAAGCAGCATTAGCTCTGTGATTCACACCGCTCCAGACCGTACGTCTCCGCTCCTGCCCCATTAGGGACAGCTCAATGAAGGGTCTGGGTGGGAGAATCAGTTATGAAAAAAGAATTCGGGGCTTATTTATTTATTTAAGCATTACACTTGACTCAGAGTTCACATTTCCCCCTTGCTAATTTCCATTACTGTGAAATCTAGAAATACGTTTACAAAAATAAGCCAAGCTCTTCACATAATGGCCTGTTGCCGAGATTTGGACTTTTGAGATGCTACCAAGCACCACAAGAGTGAAAAAAAACACCAGGATTGTGGACAGTCGTTCCCTATGAGCACAGAGAGCACTAGGAAATAACCACAGAGGAGCACACATGGTTATTAGTGGCAAGACTTTCCCTGTGCAAAACGTTTTGGTTGATGTCAAGCAGAACACAACATGACCTGACTACATGACCATCGTCAACCGCTGGAGAGAGGAGCTTTAAGGCGCTTCCCCAATGTAGGAGCAAACAGGCTGTGCTATTATGAAAAAAAAAGCAGAACAAGAGCTGCAATTTAGCAGCCTCTGCTGTGTAATCATAAGTTCTTCCACATTCACACAGTGTTCTTCTATTGGTTATGATTGCTTATGGCTCTTGGCAGTCTTTGGTATTTCTCATCCATGGAAATGCAGCTCCTTCCTTCCATCTCCTTCCTTCCATCTCCTTCCTTCCTTCTCCTTCCTTCCTTCCTTCTCCTTCCTTCCTTCCTTCTCCTTCCTTCCTTCCTTTCCCTCCCTCCCCACGTAGCGAGACCAGGAAATCTTTTTGCTTCTATAAATGAGATTTAGCAGTCAGCTTTCTTCTGACTAGGAGAGAAGGGATTGAAAAGCAGTTGGGGGAAAGCATTTCCCAAATGCAAAATGCCTGGAGGATCTGGCACATGTTTACACCACATCACAAGCCAGTAAGGGAGCAAAGGTCTGGATTTTTGGAAGGAACCTGCTCTCCACCTAACCCTAAGCGCCTGCTCTTGGTTTCTGGGAAAGTTTTTGATTTTCTTTGGACCTTGCTCTGCTGAAGAGCATTTAGGTGCATTTTAATCCTGTGTTTCCTCTCCCACAGCGTCTCCCGAGGCCTCCCTTCCGTCTCCATCCACGAGCACCGGCAGCGAGGACTACAAGCTGGGCCCGAGCGCAGGCCCTGCCGCCGTGGCGCAGCTCCTGCCGCAGACAGTGATCCCGAAGCAGGAAATCCTATAGGCCGAGGTGGAAGGAGGAGCTGGAAACCTTGCTCAGAATGAAACGGGCCCTTCCTTTTTTGCACAGCAACCCCCTGCTTGCAAGCGCATCGGTCGCTTGGGCTCGTTCGTGCTGCCCTCGCGTCACCAGTGATTGGGATTCCAACGCTCTTCGGTAGGATCGGGACTGCCAGCTCCTTGGAGCAGGGCTTTGGATTGCATTGTTAGCACCGGGTGGTCGTAACCTTTTTTTTAAAGCCTTCAGCCGCCACCGTTATAAAACCCGGTGCCTTACGCAGCTCCAGGTAATCGTTAATGAGCGCGGCAACACCTGGAATTGTCAGCGTGAGAAGGTCTGTTCCCATTAAAAGCTGAGTTACACTCCCATTACTCCTGCTGTAGTTTAAAGAGTATCTATCTCCATAACCCCCAGCAGGCCAAGCCTTCCCCATTCCACATAGTCTTGGCTTAATCTACTCAGAGCAGCTCATGTTTAATGCTGCTGAATTACACCTGTAGTAGCTGGAGTTCATCCAGGAGTCGTTACCTGTGGTCTCTGCTTTCTTTTGAGCACAGCAAACTGGTGTGAGACGACACCTAGGACCTCTACAGCAGAGCATGGTTGGTAAATGTGATTAAAAACCCATAATGAGAAGCAGTCTGTCTGAAAAAGCTGCTGACTTTTGCCACATGAACTCTCTCTTGGTACCTTATTTCAACCTGTGGTCTCTGCTTTCTTTTGAGCACAGCAAACTGGTGTGAGATGACACCTAGGACCTCTACAGCAGAGCACGGTTGGTAAATGTGATAAAAACCCATAATGAGAAGCAGCCTGTCTCAAAAAGCTGCTGACTTTTGCCAAATGAACTCTCTCTTGGTACCTTATTTCAGCTTTTGCTGAAGTTGTACATGGAAAAAAGCAACAGACCTGAAGAAAATGTTACAAAACCGGTGAGGTGACCCACTGCTAACCAAGCTGTGGCTACATACGATTCAAAATAGCTGTAGAGCCTCCACAATGTGTAAGAGCAGTTGCCGTGGGTGTCTGTCACACCGCAGGTCACCCCGGTGCATCCCCCTTCGCGGCAAGAACGAGCAGACGGTTCCAGCTCTGATCTGCGCTGCTTTCCCTGACGCTTGTAGAGCACTTTGAGGTCCTCTGATGGAGGACACCGTGGAAATGCAATCCTGGAGCCTGAGAGCAGAGCCTGAAGAGCATCCGAGCCTCCAAATGGGGACTATTCTGTGCTCGTGTTGTCTTTCAAGGGCCAGGGAGGCGCTTCAGCGTTACCATTCTGCAGCACAGAGGTTTGACAATCATTAAAGACCAGATATGCAAGGGTTGAATTCCACCCCGGAGCGCAGTGTTTTGTTTTTCTACTGCCTATGATGAATTTGAGCTGATATTACATGCCCAAAGCTTTGATTTAAGCAGGTATTGCTGGAAAACAGGTTCACTGCAAACATTCC